TGGTCCTGAAGTACGCTCGATCCCGAAAGGAGATCTCGATCGAGATGGTTAAGAGGCTCACGAAGAGGATCGTGTCTGATTGGAGGTCACCGCCTGAGTTCGAGGCGGAAGATTCCAATGGTCGACTTCGGGGACTGCGCTTTGACCCATGTCATCAAGGCGAGGTCAACGATCGGATCGGCTAAGGACCTGAACCTGAAGTACCGTGCTATGTACATAGACGGTACGGGAGCGGAGCGGACGCTCTGCGGACGCTATAAGATCACCGAGTGCGAAGACCTCGGTGAGATCCCGCCGAGCTCACAGATGTGCTCGCTCTGTTCAGGCAAGATCTTCACGGATCCGTGAACAGGTTGCTTGATCGGAAGTGGTCGTCGAGCGTGTGAGTCGCGTTCGATTGCACAGCTCAAGCCCAGCGTTCTCAAGCTTCGCTCGAGCCATGGTGGATCGCACTGCCTACACTAGCGAGTCGGCGACGCCGAAGCTCAACCTCCGCCAGATCTTCGGTCGGCAAGGGCTCGATACCGGGCTATGCCGACTCTCGGCGGACAAGGGACTGCTCAGGGTGGAGATGTTCGCGATGTTGGGGCAAGATCTGTCGTCCGCGAAGGAGACTCTCAGGAAGCTCTGGGAGGCCGACATGACCCCGCTCGGGGCGGATGCTGCCAGTCAAGAGCTATCGGTCATGTCATTAGCGGCGGTGTGGCAGGCAGCTCAGGTACTGCAGGCGCGCCAGAATGGAGGAAGACCCGATCCGGGAGCTTTCGCAGGAGAGCTGAGTTCCGCGATCGTTTCGTGAGGGTCCACCCCGACGTCATCCTGATCGACGCCAGAGAGCCCGTCTCTCGCGCGATTTCCTCATCCACGGGATCGTGCCATTCTACGAGCCGGCCGAGATCAGGACTCGAGCCGATGTGATCGTGGTAAAGTCGGGACTCTCGAGGAATGCCGAGGATCTTCTGTCCATATCAAGGGCCGATCAGCCCGAGCCGGTGACGGACGTTACCACGCTGTTCAACAGGCTCCATGCGTTCTTCATGGCGCTCGAGTACTTGAACATCTGTGCGTTCTCGCGTACGGAAGGTCCTCTCAAGTACTTGCAGGAGTTGGAGCGGTTCCGTTCGGAGTGCCCAGGCCTTCCCTTCCTGATGGCGGCAGATCGGGCGATCCGGAAGAAGATCTACCGACTCCTCTCGGAGCAGAGGGCAACGTACACGGCGTTCTCGCAGGCTCTGATCGAGGTGCTCAATAACCACAAGTACTTGTGGAACGATGCGAGGACCAGTGCTACGTTGTCAAAGGTCGACTACAATCGTCAGCAGCTCGCTACAAACCCTGATCAGGTGCAGGAAGATCCTCCTCCCGTTCCGCATAATCCCTGCAAGCGCACTCGCGCGGGGCAGAAGAAGAAGAAGAAGCGGAACCAGACGGCTGGGAAAGAGGAGACGCCCTCCAAGAAGGTCGCCAAGGAGGACCCCGATAAGAAGCCGAAGCGGGACGATCGTATCCCAGAGAAGGAGTGGAAGTTGATCGCTGAAGCGGCCAAGAAAGTACAGGGCGCTCGCCGATGCCACTACTTCAACTCGTCGCTCGGCTGCGTTTCAGGGGATAAGTGTAGGTTCAAGCATCTGTGCATGGTCTGCGGAGAAACGCACTCCATGATCGGCAACCAATGAATGGATCCGACAGAGACTGACTGCCAGCCTTATCTCGCCCTTTCGGGTGCGATGAATGGCGTGGACGTGGAGGCGACCGCCCAAGAGCTCTTGAAGAAGCAGGTCCGCTTACCCGAGAAGAGATCTTGCAGCTCGCTTTCAACTTGCCTGATCAAGGACAGCACAAGGCTGCGAACGAGCGAGGCAGCGCCTTCTTTGCTGGCGCCTATCGGCATGGCGGGATCACGCGGCTTAGGTCGTCCTGCCACTCGTGGCCTTGGTCTATTCAGGCGATCGCGCGGTACATCCAGCAAAAGGTGCCGGAGAACGTGTTCACGTCGTTCGCAGTACTATGTGATCAGGAGGCTAAGCCTCACCGTGACTCGGGCAACGAGCCTGTCCCCAACGTGGTAATCGAATTGTGGAATCCAGGAGCCAAGAATTTCTTGAAAAATCGACGCTTATCTAGTAAAG